GTAAATAGGTACAGTGCAAGAGAAATTGCAGGTACTTGTAGTTGAAGTCCCACTCAGTACTGGACCTATATCTTTTTCACTGCAGGCGTCACGGTAAAGCAGGGGCACACCTGAGCACTCAGAAGGAAATTATATGGAGGAAGGGCAGGAAAGGCAACCATTTATCACAGAGCAGTGTGTTTTTATGTCTACTTCTGTCCACAGACAAAGTCTAGAAACATAAGGAAAGAAGACAGATGATGATTGTGAATCTATACATGCCTGTGAGTGTGCTTTAAAATCAGACAGTGTTCACACTAGATGAATATCCCTTTTCTTCCTCAAACATTCTGTATGTGCACATACTTATTTTGGACCGTCCCGTTCCCATGCCTGCTCACTCTGTGCTATTTATAGCCAGGCCAACGAATGGGATATGAGCTTTGCCTGAATGACTCCTGGAGTGCTGTTAGTCCTCAATGCTCCTGCAAAAGCACAGAACTAACCTGGGAGTAATGGGTGCAATATTTCTCCATGAGAGTTACAGAAGTGCTGACCTATTCTTGTGCGACTGTACACTCGATGTTGTAGTATTGCAGCCCATTTCAGGTGATAAAATTGAAGAAAAAAAAAAGAAAGATTTTTTCTTTAGCTCACCTCAGCAATTTATGGTTAGGAACTTTGTTTTGCAAGTATCTTGGGGCTATTGCAGAGATTATCGCCCACAAAGACACTTGAACCCCAGCTGCTCTGGATGCGTCTGTCACTGTGTGAGCGGGTTAATGGCTGTAGTGTAAAAGCCCTTTGAGTGATCAGTAAGAAATAAAGGAGCATATACATTACAGCCAACTGCTGTCATGCAAAGTAACATTACATAATATGGGAAGAGAGTATGTGTGTGTGCGTGCATTGCTGCTACACTGAGGTATGAGCTGCAGCCAAACATTGCCCTCTTGTGGTCTGTAAATCTAATCACATCAATAAATCTTTGTAAAAATGTTTCCATCATTTTTAGAAAGTCAGTGGGATTATTTGTTTGTGAACTGGACCAACAAAACAAACCCCAGAAATAATGACCAAGCCATATTTTATTAAAGTGTTATTAAATTCCCAAACTGATCTACTTAGTAAAGTCAGTATCTGGGGTGTTATTAATCAGGCGTACCCAAAGTTTCCACAGTCAAATGGCCATACACCACAGGTATGGGATGTCGGTGCATTTTACTTGGTTATTGGATTTAGTGATAGAGCACAAACAAAAGAAGAAAGCAGCATGGGTCTGGGTGTCTGTTTTGTGTGTGTGTGTGTGTGTGTGTGTGTGTGTGTGTGTGTGTGTGTGTGTGGGAGGGGGGTGACATTTACTTACAAACAAGCTCAACTTGCTTAACATAGAAGAACATTAACACTCGTGTAGGTTTTCAATGTCTACATGAAATGAGAACAACAAAATATAATAAAACAAAGCAAAAAGACCCCAACAAAAAACGAACAAAACCAAACCAATTGAGTGTAGGTCTGTGTAGACAAAAAATAAATAGTTCCCACAGTAACAGACTGAACCCACTAAACTCACAGTAATAGCCATATCCTTGCTTTGACGCTTTGGGGTCCACAGGGACTAAGTAAAGCGCTATACAAATACAGGCCATTTACCATTTTTTTACCACTTTGTTCAGTTGGCTCAGAAGGACAAATCCTATTAATTGTGAATGCTAACTGGGCCTAGTTTAACACACACTGATGTTGATATTTTAAAATGTACTTTGTTATTGTTTTAATATAAAAAAATCACCATAACTTTGACTGCGTAGTGCAGAAATGTGAGTGACTCAACCCTTTAAGGCTTGGAGAAAATTGTCTCTTTAAGAGTTTTTTTCCCCGTGTTCCTGTCCCACCTGTAATGCAGCCAATCATATTTACCACTAGATGTCCTCATCTTCAAATGTTCTCAGTACCTTGGGTTGAGTTGTTGAGGTACCGTGTCTGGATACACACCTGAAATTTGTTCAAAGGCTTTTCAGCTAAAATTAGCGCCCTGTGCTCGTCGTCTTTGCTCCCGGACCTTGTTGAGATGTGATGAGTAACAGAGAGGTGCTAAAGACAAAGACCCGTCTACTGCAAACTGTCGAGCATTAGTTAATCTGAATGACAAAAGAGCTTGAATGGGTCGAGTGCGTCAGTGTGCACAGGAGACTGTGTTGCTATGGAGGTAAAGAGGGAGGATGCTGTGGTATACTGTGCTTTGATCAGTTATGCTTGCAGACCATTTTGTTATATAGACACACTTTCCATTTTATTAGCTACTCTAAAAAGGGATTATTATTAGAATTTTTTCTGTCTTTCTTTCTTAGTTAGAGAGTTATTGAATGATTGAAGTTCATGTATGGTTTGCTTGAATTGTAGAATAAAATGCAGATATGTTGTAAAGGTCTGATGGGAATGAATGATCAGTAACTTTCCTCTCAGCAGTAACAAAAAAGAAAGCATCCAAAGTTAGATGTAGGCCGAACAGTATAGTAACGCAGGATAGAGAAAGCAATAATCTTCTTAAAACTTAGAGTTGTTAGTCCAATATTTGAGATTGAACTGTGACAAGAGGTATTTCTCTTAATCCGATACTGATTCGAATCCCAGGATTTGCTGACTGGGTCGCTCCTCTGTCCCCTCAGTGTCTAGGTGTTGGCTCCTCTCATCAGCAGGTCTATTTTTACATTTAACCCTCCAGCTTGTCCCTGGATTACGTATTCAGTCCTGCTTGTCACACATTAAATGTGCAAACATTTTAAAACAATGCTGATTCTGGTTGCATAATTTAAAGCATTAGTATTCTTGTTACACTCATTCTGTAACTGGGTGACCCCAGGGAATAAATGTGCCTGCATCACAACGTCATCCTAAAACTGAAAGTAGAGAAGTGCTTTTTTCAAAGTGTTGAACTCTAACAGATGAATTACCATAATGTTACTGGAACGTGGCCCCAAATTTTTAGTGTCTTTTTGTCACTTGCAAGAAACAGCCAAACAATAACTGTGCTGTTTTCTATTCTCTCGCAGCCTGAAGAATGCACAACAAATACTCTGATCTGTTATGCCCTTTGTAGCTTTGCCAGATCTTTGGCTGATCAGCATTTGAAACGGGAGGCAGACGTTAACAGAAATCCTGGAGCAGACATGCTGCAAATAGCTTTCAGTATTCACAGCCAGCCAACTTAGGCAAAAATCACATTGCAGTTACTGTACTGAGTGGTTCCCCTGTTTCCTGTTTCTCAGGTCACATTGCTCCTGGTCTTGCTTCTCCAATTCAGATTTTACTGTAAGATTTCATAGTAATATTTATTACTGGCTGCATCGCCTCATGTGTCTGACCGCATATACTTTGGCACTGATATGTTGTTGACGTAGATGCCAGAGTGATATTTAGGTCCATTAAATCTTCAGGTAGATAAACCACAGCATCAGATTGAATAACTGCATGGCTTTCCTTGAAATGGAAACTCCTGACCAACTATAATCCTGAGCCTGACTCACAAACGCTATTCCGATCATCAACATAGCTGCTGATGAGGGTTTCCCTTGACTGTGCAGCAGTGACGGATGAAATATTAAAATCCTTCGTTAAAGTACCAGCATATAATAAATAAATAAACAGCTAACATCCACAGAAATTTCTGCATAAATAAAGAAATTCTTATCAAAAGTGCTTACAGTGATTATGGATTTTTTTTTAAGAACCACACTACAGTGATTTATCATAAATGGACATTTGTTGAATTTTTAAAATTAGGACTGACTTGTAGGAAAGTGTTTTCATTTTCTTGGTAAGGTGGCCCTGAGAGGTCAAACATAATACAAACTGAGAAGCTTCTGAAGTGACAGAAACCAAAACACGGAAAGGATCGCACTGAGACGCACTTAAAAGACGCTGTGGATTCATTTGTGTTGTAAGGGAGAAAAATGTGATTCATATAATACACAAAACACACTTCTGTTGTGATTCGTACATTTTCTTTTCCATTTCTCCTTTGTTTTCTTCAACTTGTTTTGTGTGTTTTTGTAGAGTTTCTGTACTTGCTGGCCTTTTCTTACGTTGTAATGCGTTTGACCTCTCCGGCCCACCGTATCTTGGTGATCTATGTGTTATGTAGAGTCTTTTCTTACCTTCTGCCTTCAAGTAAATTTGGTACAATGGAACGACACAGAGGGGAAGTACCTCTGCTTTGCTTAACCTGATTTCTTACGTGCATGAAATTATAAGAATAACAGGGGAGCTCTTGACTTCCATCCAAGTCAGCAACAGATAACCAGTGTGATTCTTCATTTAAGTAAACAGATACAGAACACTGTAAGTGATTGTTTTACTAACTCGTAATGTATTCTGCTTTAAATAACTCAGATTCAGATTGTAGAATATGGAAATAACGCGTGAGTACCGTGCAATAATAAAATGCAAACATATAGTAGTGGAGTATGGATTATGTGGGTAAAAAGGCCTATTTTCCCTCTGAGAGAACTAAGATGACCTCTGTGCACAACAGGATTTAAATGCCTGGGATTGTCATGTATTCTTTTGTAGTATGCACATGGTTTTTGCCTTTTTCATATCGTCGTTCAATTGACTAATGTGTCAGGGTTTGAGGCAACAAGACGGAGAGAGCTCTACTAATAATATGACTCTCAAGGGGTAGTCAAGAGCAGGAGAGGTGCCAAGGAAAGAGAGAGGCATTGCAGGACAGAGGGCAAGAGTTTGTACAGGGGGGGAGATTAAAGAGAGAGAGAGATGGAAAAAGTAAGGAGAGCCTTGTCAGGTAAAAAAGAGAGGGGAGGAGGAAAAGAGGGGGCACAGCTAGCACAGCATAAATTTGCCTGAGCTGCTTGGTTACCTTCCAAACAAAGCTGCTGATTTGCGGAGCAAAGGAAGAGGAGGGAAAAGTGAGTGAGACAGACACGAAAAGAGGAGGGGGAGGATAGAAAGAGATGAGGGGAGTGATTGCACCATGCCACACACACTTGAAGCTCAGTCTCCCTTGGAGACACTGGCAGAGCTGGATCACGGCATGATAGAGCAACTGTAGGGTCTCCACTTCGCTACACTTCCACTTCGCTATCACCACTGAGCTGTGGCACTATACAGACGTGCTGGGCTAGAGAGGAACAGAGAGTCAGGACTTGAGTCCTGGAAGGAGACTAAAGATTTGACAGAGACCTAGGAAGAGGAGGAGGAGGCAGTCAAGAGTGTGAAGAAAAAGCGGAGGAGTCAGGAGTCTGAGGATGCACGGAGCGAGCTGAAGGAGCTGCTGAGCTTGCAGCAGCAGCCAAGCAACACTTCTAAACTCAAATACACACTACTTCCAGGGGAGGACAGTGTGTGGTGCCCCCAGTGGAGGATGAAGAAGCACTCAGCCCGAGTGGCTCCTCTCAGCTCATACAGCACTCAGGTCCTGACCTGCCCTAACTCTGAAGGTAAACTGAAAGCTCCAAAGAGACACAAGATGCCATTTATACTGTACTGGAGTATACTGTATGCATTGTGTGTGTAAATAGAAAAATAAGATACGACAAAGTACTTAACTTTTATTTTCAGGGTCACGAGTGACATTTTGTTTCCTACAAGGCATCAAATACACCAAAGTGCCATGTAGAGTCTATAAGTCTTCATAGGAAATATTGAGATTTTAATAAATATGGACGTTTCCAAATTATATCCTGCTCCATTTACATGAGAGCAGCCTTTGGATCTAAAAACTGTTTGAATTTGAATACTGTAAAAAAAATGTTTTCTATTATTTCAGCCTCCTGGTAGCAGTGTAATGGTAATGGAGTGTGTAAAGCCTGTTGTTGTTCCCCCTCATCTGATTAAACATTTTAGCCCCCCACCTTTAACTCTGTTAACAGAGATTACTGTGATGCCACTAATCAACTTTTCATCAGCATCATGATATCCATGTCTCATCTTCAGGCCTAATTTGGATAAAGACTTAATGCGTTTTGACCTGAGCTAAGCTGGCTAAAAACTGCAGACAAGACTATGAGCCTCTTATTGGATTCAACGGGCCTCCATCAATCACTGCCGTGCAACATTAGTGGTGGCGATAAAGGAGAAAATGGATTAAAATGTGAGGTTCCAGAAGCATACTGCATCACGATGAATGGATAAATGGGTGCCGGTGGTGACTGATGCTATGCAGCACTGGGTTTTCTGCAATGAAGTGTTCTAGCACTTCCAAATACTCTGACTCCATGTCTGAACCGATATAAGCTACTGTGCATTTAACCTATAAAACTATAAAAAACCTCAAAATATTACACTTTTTTATCCCGAGTATCACTGCAGTGGATGCTTCTTTGACATGAGGAAATTAGCTTTTCTTGGGTTACATTTAACACACTGTTCATTTTATCCTGACTTGTAGATTTTAATATTTGTGCATGTATTCATTCTTTTATCCAATCACATTTTACCTACCAAAGCACCAAAACTGATCATCACTCACTTAAAAAAAAAAAAAAAAAACACCCCAGCGCTAAGTAACTAATTATTCATCATGGACATACAGATACCTTAACACTACTAACCTTAAATTTGAGCTTTTCATAAAACTTGCCCTGAGTTGGACTGAATTTACCTTCACTCCTGCAGTACTGTGTTGTCAGCCTGTGTTTAGCAGAGATTATTGTTTCCTTTGCAAAATTTTACCACCAATATTTGTCAGCAATAATACTGTCTGCTATGAGAATACAATTTTGGCAATGGGAGCAACTTTTATGAGACAGGGGAATAGTAGAGTTATAATATTACTGCGTCTTGGCATCAGATGAGCCTGTTGTGGCTTTTACCTCAGGACAGAAAAGCTTGCATCTGACACTAAAAGCTTTAGGTTTTGTCGGTGCTGTGAAACACAAACCATCCTGCTGTGTGGATGAAGAAAAACAGACCTAAAGTAAAAAAAAAAAAAAAAAATTAAAATAAATAAAAGAGCTGCTTCTCTATTGCAGAAATATCGGATCTCAGTTTTTTCCACTTAGCAACCACCAGGTTCATTAGTTTGATTAAGAACCCTTGCTGTGACAGAATGCAATTAAATGAAATCCCTCGATGATCCTGCAGAAACTGTATCGAAGGTGAGCTTTTTGCCTTTAACACATCCCCTGAATAGAAACAGTTTAAGTGCTGTTCTCCCGCGAGCGTTTTTTGTGGTGGGGGTTGAACTCATTATTACTTTTGAATTGTTGGGTGCTAAATAATATTTTTCTTTTGCACTTTGAAGGCTCGTAAAAGCCTTCAAAGTGTAAGTGGTCATTGAAGAATTTTCCACTCTGCACCGTGGACAGATGGTCAGTGCTGCAGCAATGCAGTGTTGGAAAATACATTCACGTGAGCTTTATTGGAGCTACTTTACTCGGGTGTTTCCATTTTATGCTAAATTTGTAATATGCCTCATTCCACAGTTTTTTTGTTTGTTTTTTTACACCAATACATTAACTAGAAAGCTCACTGGTGCTTTGCAGTTGAAAAACAAGTTATTTGTCTATAATGAGGAATGCTTTTTTTCTTTTAAAACACTCATTTGGTTTCATCTAAATAATTGTTTGAGGCCCAGACTGGAATAAAACTGTATTACTATAAAAAATATATATTTGTTAACTTCTCCATTACCTGTACCCTAAAGCACAGCTAGCCTGCCTAGAGACTACTACACTCAAAAAAATATTTGTTCCCTAATTCTGACTTTAATTAATTTGATTACATCTAAATTTTACAATTTGAAATGTTAAATTTAATGGAACCAGGTCAAATGAAATTTGACTAGCATATATTTTTCTTTTATTTATTATAGTTACATTTTACTTTAAATCATTACTTTGTGTTTTAGTGTACTGAGCATTGAAAAACATGTTTTTTTCTTCTTTCTAACCCCATTTAGCATCTTTTTCTGCAGTGAACTAAAATCTTTAAAGGAACACAAAGTATAATGCATATAAAGTTAAGTTAAAATGCACTGATGTATCACTAATGCAAAAGTTGATACTGATACTCAGTTTAGGGAAACCAATTTTCTTCAGAGTGCCTCCTTTCATGTGATGCTAAGTACATGTAGAGGATAATACACTGATACGATCTTAAATGCAGGACTTTTAATTGCAAAGGAGCATTTTTATGTTCTTATTTTTTTACTTCTATCCTTGAACTGATTGAAGACGGCTGCCAGTAATGACTGTGTCCAATCTGCAATTTTATAATCTCTTGGGCAGTTTTTCAGCCACTGAGTGCTGGCGATGATCTCATGCACTTATAAAGGATATATACCACGTTTGGCAAGACTTTTGATTGTTTTATGAAGTTACTCATCAACTTACTTTCAAAGTTTGGTGACGTTTTCCTCTGTTTGCATCCTGTAAAAAGAAGGAATGGATTTTAAAACACATACTGGCATCTGATCACATAAGGAACTTTACAAAAACTAAACTTCTACCAGCTGTCCTACTGATAAAATGGCTGTTTGATCAAAGAGTTTGCTCTTCACACACTGTGTTACAGCTTCTTTTGATGTAAGAAATGATTATTTACTGCACTTGTTGGTACAATCCATTTCCAGTACACGTCACTGACTTGTGCTCCCATTGCTTGACATCCTGCTGAGGTCTTTTTGCAGATAACAAACAGAAGACTATCGCATGCAATAATGAGCACCCCTGTGTTGTGAAGAGGAGAGCTACTACTGCTACACGTTCTAGTGTGGTTGCAGGGCTCTGGTGTCTGTGGCGGAAATGGCAGAGCTTTAGGTGCTGAGCTAGCAAACAGCCAGCACATGTCATCCTTTATTCCTGCCCTGGTGTAAATTGATCACACTGTTGAGAGGTAAAGAACAGATCTGAGCTCACACACATCCCACTTTGCTTTCTCTGATCGTCCATAAAGGCACTGGGACATACATATCATTTAACCTTTGCAATTTGGATGTTCCAGTAAAGTTCCAGTAAATTCCTTTTCACAGCAGCGATACAAGAACAGTGTCCCATGAGCACCAAGGTTGGCCTGACTTTCATGTTGACTGTCATGTGGTTAGGTTTACTTTTGCTCTCTGGGCATCCGGTTTCTGTGCACATCTGGCTACAAAGGGAGTACAGTACATGCTGCATCATGAGGCAACCAAGCTATTTATGGCATGTGCAGCGTGCACCGTGTTAACCCGATGCATTTTAAACGGAGCCTCAATTGTGCCACCACAGCAAGAAAGGCAAACTGAGGCAGTGATCACTAAGGACGACTGATCGATGAAGCTCATGTGCTGGAACCCAGTCAGGAAGCCACAATGCAGGCAGCACTGAAGTCTATATATAGTGGTGCAAAAAATACAAAAGTTGTTAAGTTTAAACTCATTATACTAATCAAAATTATTCAGATGAAATCTGATGCTAGCTGTGGATTTCCTTTAATTTTTCTCCCCCCTTCTTGACTCTCATCAGGAGAGGATGGCTCGGAATCTCACGCAGAGACACCAGGAAGTGAGACCAGTATGGAGAGCCAGTCCTTCCATACGTGCGCCAACACGGCTCTGAAGGTGCTGGGTGGTTTGCTGATGGTGCTGTGTGTTTCCTCCTCCTGGGTGGGTACCACTCAGGTGGTGAAGCTGACCTTCCAGTCATTCTCCTGTCCCTTCTTCATCTCCTGGTTCAGCAGCAACTGGAACATCCTCATCTTCCCCATCTACTACTCGGGACATGTCGTCACCACACGGGAGAAGCAGACCCCCATCCAGAAATTCAGGTAAACCTCATTTAAGAAGTTTTAAGAAGCCAAGTGTGATATCTGAGGAGGTTCCGATCTATTATCATTTTACCTCTGGTGAGTTGGAACCAGTATTAAACCACCCTCAAGCCTGTGAGAGCCAAACAACCATCATGTCCATTCTCTAAACACAGTCTTCCAAACAATGAAGCATTTCCATTCAGAAGACTTTACTGGTGTTTTTCTCTAACAGGGAGTGCAGCAAGCTCTTTGGGGAGGATGGAATGACTCTCAAGCTTTTTGTAAAGAGGACAGCACCCTTCTCAATCCTGTGGACACTGACCAACTACCTGTACCTCTTAGCCTTGAAGAAATTGACCGCCACTGATGTCTCTGCCCTCTACTGTTGCCACAAAGCTTTTGTTTTTCTCCTCTCATGGATTGTCCTCAAGGACCGGTTCATGGGTGTTCGGGTCTGTATGAAAACAAGAAGGAGATTGTTTATTACCTGTTTAACACAAGCTTTTACTACTTCAAAATGTGTCATCTATGTGTCTATGTGCAGATTGTGGCTGCCATAATGGCCATCACAGGTATTGTCATGATGGCTTATGCTGACGGTTTCCACGGTGATTCCTTTGTGGGTGTGGCATTGGCTGTGGGCTCAGCCTCAACTTCAGCTCTTTATAAGGTCAGACTTCCTCATAAGCCCGTTCCAGTCTGAGCTATGCTTGATTTTTGATTGCATCGTGTCAACTCTTTGTTTTCTCACCATCCAGGTGCTGTTCAAGATGTTCCTAGGCAGCGCCAACCTTGGAGAAGTGGCTCATTTTCTTTCCACCATGGGCTTTTTCAACCTCATCTTCATCTCCTGTGTGCCCCTCATCCTGTATTTCACCAGGGTAGAGCACTGGGGCTCACTCTCCTCACTGCCGTGGGGATACATGTGTGGACTGGCAGGACTGTGGCTGGGTGAGAGTGCATATACACCGGATGGTTTCATCCACATGTACAAACCATTTTGGATCATTTTAAGGCTTTTAGTATAACTATAGGGATTCATTTCTTATAGTTACCATCAGTCACTCGGTGGATATGATGTTTATATTGTCTGAATACAGGATCTGTAGGCAAAGGGCATTATTTTAAGTATCGGAAATTTTCCACTTTCCGTTTGTTGTCTGCTTTTAGCCCCAGTAATGGAACGTTAGCTATCGACTGACAACAATTTAGCTTTTTATTCGCTTTTTGAAATATATGTGTATTCATAAATAATGGTGAGTGGAAGGAAGTGTTCCATTATCCACTTTCCAGATAACCTGGCAAGACCATAAGCTACAAAATATTGGCCGCCATCCCCAGTGGCTAGGTCAGATAACTAAGCTAATGGGTTCCCAGATGAGACGTTTCACCTCTCATCCGAGAAGCTTCTTCGGTTCTTAGAGTCAGTGGTGGACAGTCCCAGATTTATGCCCACCATTTGACTCTTAGAACTGAAGAAGCTTCTCGGATGAGAGGTGAAACGTCTTCAAGCAACTTAAAGAAGTCCAGACGCTTTTCTTTCCAAGCTCCTTAGACAACGATGACCTGGATGACTGAGAACCTTCACAGAGTCTTCTGTTTCTTTTGCAGCGTTCAACATCCTGGTCCATGTTGGTGTGGTACTGACTTACCCCATTCTGATCTCTATAGGGACACTGCTCAGTGTGCCGGGAAATGCAGGTAAGGTTTCTATTATCTGCCATTCACTGATCATTTTGATGTAAAATAATATGATTGTAAAAAATGGAGTAAACGGCCACACATACTGTGGCGCTGTATTGAGAGGTCAGCATTTAGGGCCACTGTAGCAAACAGATTACACAGCAAGTCTGCCTCTTTTGTCCCGGAAACCCAATCATCAGTGTGCCTCGACAGATCCTGCAACCATCCTCTTGCTAAGGGAGGATCAGATTCCCAAGGCAACACAAATGCCTGCAGACGAGTTCTTTTCCTTAATGGTCTGTATGAAGGTCAGTGGGTTACGGGAACCTGTCCCAGGGCTCCAGACCACAAAGACACAGAGGATAAAGTGGATTGCTTGTGCTGATTATAAGCTGCATTTGTTACACTAATCCCCCTACAGCCGCACTGTCCTGTGGTTTATCTTACTTTATGTAATTAATCTCGATTTGATTGTGTTTCTCTCTCATCCTTCACACTCTCTATCCCCATCCTGCTCTCTGGCTCCCTCTTTTGTTCCCACCCATATTTATTCCCCTCTCACTCTAGCTGTAGATCTTTTGAAACATGAGGTGATCTTCAGTGTGGTGCGACTGGCTGCCACCTGCATCATCTGCCTGGGCTTCCTGCTCATGCTGCTACCAGAGGAATGGGACTCAGTCACTCTGCGTTTCTTGGCCACCATTGCGGACAAAAAGTCAGAGGACCACGGCGAGGAGCTCACAGACTCCAGCACCCACACTCGAAGCCGCAGTCGCGCAAATGGCACTGTCTCCATTCCCTTGGCATGACATGCTCTGATAGTAACCTCTGTTAACCAGTCTGGAAACTCCACATTTCTCCAGAGCCCACACTGGAGGTGTGGTGGGACGCTCAGTCCATGTGGACTCATCTATCAGGAAGTGAGGCAGTAACGTCTTGAACTTCAAACTTCACTCTGGAGACGTACTGTTTCTATCACTTCACAACAACAGGGGAAACTGAAAACATTTATGGATCATGCAACTTGAAAGAGCTGAAAGTGTTATTTACTTTCTTGACATACTTGCCGCGCTCCATCCCTCGCACGCACCCAAACCAAGAGCTGACTGGCTCCCCTTGAGATGCTCTGCAGACTGTATTCTGTGAATATAACTATCAGCGGGGCCAGTTTGGCTCAGTCTTACACATATTTATGATATTTATTTAGATCTGTATCAATAAGAGTAATAATTTTAAATCTTACTGAATAGCGTTATATAGAAGAATGATGATTATACTATGCTTAATGTACAGGATCTTTTGATTTTGTAATAAAAGTCTTAAAACCCACAAAAAAGCTGCATCTAACTGAGAATCACATGTATGTATTTCTAATATTTTTGGAAAAACTTCTAGCTTCAGAACTTTATTGCCTGGATAACTGAAAAGCATTCGTATACATTTATATACAGATAATGGTGCTGGAAAAACTTCACATCCCAAAGACCAAAGCAACGGCTCCACTGTTTCTAAGTAAAGCTCTGACATGAGGTCACATTTTTGGTATTAATATTAGACTAATATTTTAGAACTGATAAACTGACTGTATATTTATTTGACACAAATAAATGTAAAAAAAAATAAAAATAAAAAAAGCAAATGACTCTGCACCCTGAATCACATTATCAGCAGAGTAATATTAAAACATTTTTTTATTTAATCGAATCTTCTCTGCCATTACAAATTATTTACTGAATATATAATATTAGTCAAGCTAGTCTATAAAGATGGAAACAAGCCTATCAGAATGAACTAAAGCAGACTGTTGTCCCTTTGACCATTAACTGCTCATGGACAAGTATTTTTAGCAAAATTAAGTAGTGTGATTCATTCAGTATTAGTATTCTCTGTGTTGCTCTGATTCAGCAGTGATGACTTTCCAGAATTCTTCTCTTTGAGAATTACAATGCTGTTCCGTGCTGTTCTTCGCTTTCTCACACACAAATACACAATACACAGAAAACTGACAGTTAACTGTAATTTTTCCTTTTTCACAGATACACACAATTAATGGTGAAAATGTCTAACAATGGTCAAAGCTCACGGGACATGGTTTCCTACAGACCATATGCTATGATCTTGTCACTGTGATTTTTTTTTAATATCTCATAACATGGTGAGAAACAGACAATCCCAAGAGTCACACTACAGTGCTGTTATGGTGGAGCACAGTCAGTGAGTTGAAACCTCTAATGAAGCATTTGCTGAGATGACAGTTTCAGCTAAACGACTGTGGTGGCATTTTAACATATTAAAATAAATGATGTCGAAGAAGCAAAAGGAAAAAAATGCAATGTTCAAATTGTACTTTCATAATGGTCACTGGTATCCAGCTAGAAACTGATAAAACACATTAATCAGAGGGATCTTTTATAATCTTTAGCTGCAGAAAAAGTATTTTGTAAAATACATACAGTCATGCTTAAAAAAGTACAACTATATGCAGTCCTGTGAAAACACCCATAATGCCTGTATTGAAATAAAGAGGGTAAGTAGCAGTCAGGTGCTGCTATTCACACGCACTTGATTGTTTGATCATCAGCAAGTGTGAGCACCTCTATAAAAGCACAAGTTTTGGCAGTTTTGCTTGTATGGAGCATTCAGGCGTGCATCAATACAATTCGACAATTGTCCGAGGATACAAGAGCTACATCTCAGAGTTTACAGGCCTCGATTAGCATGTTAAATATTAAGGTTCATTGCAGTACAGTTAGAAAAACGCTGAACAAGTATGGCTTGTTTAGAAGGGTTGCCAGGAGAAATCCTGGTCGCATGGCTTAGGTTACATCTGAACAAACCACAAGACTTCTGGAACAACTGGACAATTTGGACAGACCAGACCAAAGTGGAGGGGTTCGGTGATAATGGACAGCGCCACATTTGGCAAAAGAGAAATGCAGCATGTCAGCTGAAACACCTCATACCAGCTGTCAAGCACGGTGGTAGAGGGGTGGTGATTTGGGCTTGTTTAGCAGCCACGGGACACGGGCACCTGCTGTCATTGATTGCTAAGATATTTTAGCAATACCTTTTATTTAAACGTCTATCCATCTCAAGGTGGCGCTATAATCATGCAATTGGGTACCGCAAGTGGCTTTGCAAAATCACACTGGGTAGTTGTTTGACACAATATTTCAGTCAGGTGAAAGCAGTTTACCAACACACTGACAGACTGGGACTGCCATCCCTAGATCCATGCTGCTAGCATGATAACAAAAACAATACCAGTCTTTAAAAAAATTCCAAATATTACCAAGCACAGAAAAAAAATGCACAACAACTCCTGTATGTAGTGTAATAGGAACCAGGACTGTAACAGTTTTTTCCTACCCCGGTGCTTTTATGAGCTCTACTGGAGTCATATTTTTCAGTCAGAAAACAATTTCCCTCTCTGCTCCCTCTGGGCTTTCAGATAGCAAAGGGGGTGCAGGAAAATAACAGGCTCTTTCAAGCATTAACTTATGAGTTACAAAGTAACCTGTAGGGAGAGTTGCCATAGAAACCTAGCTCATTATAATGTGAAAGTCAGGTTGGGATGGAGTGTACACCTACTCTTTTAACCACATTTTTACTTGGGTGCCACACAACAACGCTCCAGGACAAATCATAAGTTTGAAAGCCGCTGAGGATGTGAAGACCACTTGGTATGCTTGGAAGCAGCTGAAGCAAATGATGCAAATTTAAAAGACTCCTTTAAAAGTGAAGTTACTGACATTTTTATAGGACAGGGCAAAAAGGAAAAGAAATATTAGCACAAGTGGGTCTACGCTCACAGAGCCATCATGTGACTGAGGTCATTTGTAACACCCAACTTTAAGACAGATATTGTAACCATTAAACTTTACATAAATAGCTTGGACCGAGAAGTATTTTGCAAGTGTCAGCTTCTTGGACCGACAGCAGGACAATGGGCTCTACACACTCCAGACCAGGATTGCATAAAGTGGCCCCATGTAATATTTTGCAAGAAAAGACTCAGAAGCCAAAACCACAATGGACAGTCCCTGCACTGCCACACGCTGTGGAGCTGCCACCAGGATCTGTGGGAGAGAAAAGCACAACCTTTCCTCCACTGAAGCAGGAAATAACTCTTTCTTTGCTTTCAGGTCAGTCTGCGCCAAATTTCATTCCCAGTTATGATTTATTTGTTTTGTTACTCATCACTATGTGTTACTGATTTTGTGTTTGTGTGTGCAATTTAAGCATCATTCATTCTCCTCCACCCAGAAGACCTTGGGTTAGCTTGGCAAAATTAGCTGCCTAATATATTTAACTAAAACAGACTGGTCGTGCTGCCTGGTTCATTTTTAAAACATTTCACATCTGCGCTGGGACTCTGGGAGACATCATTCATTATTGTTTCTGACTGGTTGTGATTATTACCCAGACATCCCGTCATTATCTCTCCTCAGGCACTGCAACTGCTGGCCCTTAAAATTGGCCACACAAGCACTGCCAATCAAATTGCCAAAGTAATAAAAAAATAAATAAAAATAAATAAAAATATCACTGCTAACCCACTGTCACCTTCATGCTATGTCAAACGATTCCAATAAGGAATTTTGATGGTTTTTTTATAGGACAGGGACCTCACAGATGGGGATATTCACCGTTTTTTTACAACCTGCCAAGAAGGCACGAGCAAAGTAATTCAGGTAAAGCATCTTGACAAAGTATGGAAGAGGTGAAGTGCATCTTTAGCATCAATAATTTAAATCATACATTTTTACTAACAGTCTGCAACGGTGCTTAAGAGCGAGTGGGAGAGGGTAGAAAAAATGGGGTGGATGGGAAAGGAGGGAGAGAGAGGCAGCTGTGAGTCTGAGCCCTTCCTCTTGTCTCCCAGTGGATCTGATTAAAGTGCCAGTAGAGTGGAAAGTGGGGTGGTCTACAGCCATGACTGGCCCTCAACGGGATCTATTTTCAGGCTACAGAGAACAGAAAAGCTCCCACCCACCAGGAGATGCAAACTTGCAGAAACAAATAAAAGCATAGACTCCACAATTGTGTTACTCTTTCTCTTTTTTTAGAGTGTTTGGCTTTAAACCCAGCATCCACTCTTCCATTACCTACAAAACACCAATTCCAATGAAAACTGATGGGTCAGTTCCTTTAATTATAAATATCTTTACGACAATATGAAAATACTGAGCATTTAATAGCACATAAGTAGTAGAGACATTAAAGGAATTTTCCTGGCAGTGAAGCAGAAGTATGCAGCAAAGCAAACTAGAAATATTTCAGTAAAGTACAAATAACTCATAATTATAATTCACTACAGTGCTGGAGTAAATGAACTTAGTTGATTTCAATATCCAGTTTATTTAACCCTTTCTAGGGCAGGTTTCTGGAGGTTCAGAGAGCTGCCTCTCAAGCTCACCTCTAAAATGTCAGGCAGCAGAGAAGACATAAGATACAGTCTACACATTTAACCTCAGGCTTGGAAATTGTTGATCTAATACATACTCTGTTTGAATGCGGTGTATTCCAACCTAACTTGCCTTCTTTTATTTGTCCTTTTCGATGGAGATCCAAATGCAGAAGGCATCCAGAAGCTGAAACTCGTGAGAACCCACTGAGAGAGACATCTTTTGGAATGAGACCACAAGAAATGGGAACCCCGGCTGCCTTCTGGAGCCAATATCTTTCCCTTCCTTTGGTTTTGAAGTGTAACCTGTCCAGAAAAACAGCTACAACGCAAGCTAGATCATACAGTCAAAGAAGAAAGAGTTCATGATGTAGCACAGACTAAAGGAAAAAACACACACAACAAACTGGAGATGGCAGATGTTTTTGAAAACAGCAAAACAAAATGGAAAACTGGACAACTGAAGAGAAACTGATGCAGAGAACTGAAGTAAAGTGCACAGAGGTCACAGGATGAAACGGTCAGATAGGCAGGATAAGAAGCAGAAGCGGGATCTTTAAGCTATCATACCAAATTTCAGTTTTCAGAAATGATAACAAAGTTGCCATGCGTGTTCTGGAACCAACTTTTATTAACAATATGATGAAACTTTTTGATGTTTGGAAGCTACTGCATGTTCTGGCTTTCATGACTGAGTTTATGGCGCCCTCTATTGGTGAAAGAAATGCGATGACGTGAGAAAAACTGCTGGAACATTGACTTCAGCCTCCCTGCAATATTGACAACAAACATCCAAAAGAGGTTTGAATCGACTTTTTTTTTTCTTTTTAGGTTTCTGGTCCATTATTAGACATTTGGGATAAAAGTTAGTGCAAAAGAAAAAACAACAACAACCTTTCAGTCTGCAGATATATTCTGTTATTTAAAAGCAAATGCACGCTCAGACTGAAAACAGGAAGCTAGTAATTCTACCATTATTTATGAAGTGGCCTCCCTGAGGCCGACTCTAAGCAGACTTAGACTGGCTGAGAGGAACTGGACTCCTACCAAACACCTGGAACAACAGAAGCTTTCAATTGCTTGGTCCCCAGGCCCAGCGTGTTAAATGAACACTACACAGCAGGAGGAATTTAATCAGCAGTGATAATCTTGCAGTGGTTGGGTAGAACTATTTAAACAGAAGAAATTCACTTTATTAAATGTATTAAAGACATAAATACATGCTAATGTGACTTTTATTGTAATCTGCCACTGGGTGTCATTATTGGGCTGAGGGACACACAGTAACTCAAACATCCACAGAGAAGTGGGAAGCATTTTTTGGCATTTAATTGCAAATTCTTTTGTGGGTGTGCAAAAACATTTTAGTATCCAAACTTCATGATGTTTTAAACGATTTGTAACAATCCAAAATGCTGCGTTTGGCCCACATGATCTTTATTTTGATTATTACAGGAGTAAAGTGTAAATCTGTTTCTTGTATGCATGTATGCAAGAGTAAACACATTTTAAATAAATGAACAATTCAGCTGAATGCCCAGAGGTATGGACAGAAGGCACTGGAGCAGAGCAACACATTAAATGAGTCCATCTACTTAGCAAGCTATTCAATCAACAAAGCAAAGTCTGCCAGTGAGAGGCCACTAACTGCAGACTTGAGGAGCCAGACTGACCACTGAGGAGATTTAGAGTGGCCCAACTCTTCAAAAAAAAAAAACAAAAAAAACCCTTCTCCTTTTCCAGTTCGCTAACCACACACACTGGGCCTTAAAGCCAAATCATCGTGGAGGGGGAGAGCCGAGAGGTCTCGGTGTCTGCCACTCCATACTGCTACATAAAAAGAAGGTGAAGGATGCCGTGTGAGCAATTGGTTCCAATTGACAGAGGATTGGTCATGGTCAGCCTTCTGAGTGGAAATCCACGTGAGAATGTAGCATTTGGACCAGCAAGGGGCACAAGAGGCCAATGGCAGACAATGAGGCCACTCAGAGGAGTCTGGCTGCTGTGGAATAGTTGGGACACAATCTCCTCTGGTTTAACCCTTCATCAGCTAGTTATTCATTCAACTTAATGCACAGAGGTGGAGCTTGTGTAGTAGAAATGTTACATGCATAGTTCAGGTAATGTGCTGATAAACTGAGGGAAGCATTTGGAACCAAACGCCGATTTGAGCCGTTTTATCTATGCATCGAAGCATACATAGAGGGCTACTCTGATGATTGTGTTACATCAATAAAAGATCAAAATCATTTACAGCAGGCTGCACCATAAATTAGTTAAAAAACCTCCTCTGTAACCTCGAGAGGCAACTCAACAGTTACCATCCTTGTGACTTTTTCACCAATTAGGCAGGTCCTGCTCACAGAATGAGACCGACAGCTTTCAAGTCTCAAAGGGCCCGAGGGTCAGCGCTCAATCACAGTCAGGCTGGAGAGTTTGTGTGTTTCAGCTAGCTACTAGTTGACAGGGCAAAGCTGAGGTCAAAAGAGGTGGGGGCCAGTGATTGGTATGGGTGTGGACTCCTGCCAGCTCAAAAGAGAAGGTTTTGTCGCCAAGACACTGGCCGAATCAGGCTTCCCTTTCACAGTCCAGCCGCCCCTCTACTCCAGGCCTACAACAGCTGATGACAAGGCCCCAGCTGCTAATTATCCGGCTGATGGAGAGTCACTGAAGTGCGACTGTCAGAGCAAGGGGTGGCCCTTGTGTCTGCAATGGGATATATCTGCGGCAGACTGGGGGATAAAAGAAGTTGAACTGCAGGTGCAGGTAGTTCTTTAAAAGCAGTAATCCAGTTGATTTTTGCATATTGTGAAGTGCCTTTGCACATGTGAGTAGATAATAGATAATAACTCTCCTGTAAAACAGGGTACCATAATAATAATTTAACTGGGTCAAAATTCTTTACTTTCAGCTGTACCCGGGACGCTGGGTCCTGGGTCGTACATCACTGTGTGTGCGTTACAGTATTTTCAGTCTCTTTAATACACAGTGCAGTGTCCACAAAGCCCCTCTTTGTGAATCCATCCTACATCATCATCTGTCCAGAAGATACCGGAGCTGTACCTGTTGAATTCCATATGTAGTACTCTTTGGACTGAAGTTCTCGGGCTGAGGGCAGGACAGACACAGTTGTTAGGGTCACCCAAGAGACAAATATTTATAAAAAAAAATTTTTTTTTACTGTAAGCTTACATGTTACAATCCGTGGCTTGGCAGAAGAATAAACCTGCACCGAATGCTGGTCAACATAACACCCAGACAACGTCATGTCAGGCACTTTGAAATGCAACTGTGAAGAAAAAAGCCACTGATGAGGAGTAATAAATCTTTTTATCTCGTCTTACATTAATGTGAGTAGTACATGAAGACCATAAAGTAGTAAGTATGGGTGACGATCCTTGGCTACTGGTAATTATGAAACATAATAACTTACTTTGACATAAGCAGTAAGTTTTGTGCAGAGTGGGTCAGAAGGTCCTGGTGTTGGTCCAGAAAAGTTGATCTTACCCTCCATCGTAACCTCACGAGACTTTGGGAACTTTTGCCCTACATATCATTGAGAATAAAATAGTCATCCATTTTTTTTAAAGTATGCAGATGCAGTGAAAGTGATTTTGTCTCTTATAGGGAGAGTCTGAAGCATAACGCTTACCCAGGACCCAGACAAGCAGGTTTTTCTCTTTTGAAACATCCAACTGTCCAGAGCTTACCTTCATATCTACAACACCCATTTGATCCCTGCACAGTGCACACAGAGACAGTATGCAGACAATCAATTAAATCGGATTTTTTTTAACAGAGGTTACAGAACACAGCTGAATTACAGTGCAGTTTGTTTAATAGTCTCTCACACACAAGCAAGATACTATAACTCTGCTAAATTAGATTTAAAAACATTTAAAAGAGTTTTCCATTAAAAAATTTTTTCCTGCACACATATGTGCATTTGATTTTTCAACAATTTCTAAACTCCTAAAAGGGCTCTCAGTAATTATATTTATGACTGGATCATATTATGCTTGTAAAGAAAGCATAAAGCACGAGGAAATAGTGATTTTGAACTTTGTGTAGTTTACCTGTTAAAGAATGGCAGGTGAGCATTACAGAACTCAAAACTGTTCTTTATACTCTCATGAAGTTTGAGGGTTACTGACACGCGAAGCTGGTTCTCCTCTTCCTTTAGTTGGTATGAACCAAGTATGGGTGGAACAGGAACCTGGTGAGAAATTAAGATTTTAGCAGAAATCATTTACAAGATGAAAACATATGTGCAAGGAATTTGTATGCATACCTCAGAAGTATAGCTGCATAGTCTGAAGGGCTCTAGAGGAGGGGAAAAGGGAAACTTGTATGGCCCGGAGAAAGCTGAGCCATCATAATTATCCACACTGCTGGCAGTCAGGATACTCGAATCCAGAGATGTGACACAGGGATGGACCAGGATGTCCTGCAGTGGAGAACCATTTGGTGGCAGTGATAGAGTCACTGTCACATTTGGGAGCACCCCCTCCACTTCACACTGTTGAAAGAAGGGTAGAAATGTAGAATAATCCTAAATAAATCATTTCCAGAAGTTATAACATTAATCACTTTTTTTACATTGCGGACTTACTTTGCATGTCACGGTGCCATAAACATCCCAGAGGTCCTGTCTGCTTCGATTACCATACTGCATGGACCGCACTGTTTCTATCAGTCCAACGTTAACCACAGCTCGACCTCGGTGTAGTCCTGTCTTCCAGGCTGGCTGTTTCTGAGTTCCAACAGAAGTGGGCGCTGTGGGTGTCCCAGGTAGGGGGACATCAAGGGGTGTGCCAAGTGGACAAACCTGCAGGAGGACTGAGGGCACCATTGCCAGACGAGAGCCAAGCCCTTCACTATCAGGCTTACTCCCTGAGCCAAGGAGAAAAGTCTGTAGGCCTGCCAGAAGTGTGAGACCCTGTGAGACTGACAGCAGACTGGCCAGAGGTGGCCGCGGATCAGGAGGGACATCCACTAAAGGCAGACACGCCAGAATGAGAGGCCCTTGCGAGACAGTCAACACAGGCCAAAGTATTCCTTTTGCAGGTCCATCCACATGCAGCTCCAGGGCTGGTGACCGTGGACGGTAAAGACAGTCATCTCTGAGGGCTACATAATTCTTACCTGAGTCTGAAAGCCCCAGCTCAGTGAGCAGGAGCTGCAGGAAAGTACTCTCCTCTGGGACTGCTACATATGAGGAACCTGCCAGGCTCTTTGCACGGTGCTCCACGGTGGAAAACCTCCTGATGAAGGAGACACAAGACATGACAAAACACAGCGATCTACAAGTAATCCGAAAAAAATATGTTATGTTAGCATATATGTGACAATAATTAGAAGTCACAAACCTAGAAAAGCGTATTGACAGATTTCCTCCATTCTCGTGAGAAATAATCCACAAACCACGTACAGTCATTTCTCCGGCTACAGCAAACTCCCGACTTTATGGGGGAAAAACAAAAGCGTCAAAATCTAATATTTAAATCTCCCTGTGCATGTGTTAAATTCATTTTTTGCCTCGCTGTATGAACATCGCTGATGCTTGCTACTTACTTCCTGGTTTTGTTGTTTCATGTGACAACCACGTCCAATCAGCTGACAAATGCGCTTGCGCACTTCCAAGCGGCTGTCCCCACCCTTCTCTCCCATACAGGAAGCTGGATCGCCAACCAGCTAGCTGTCAACAAAGGGCAAAACTGTACGAAACCACCAAATCAATGCAGAAGTCGGCTTTGAGTTCCATCTCCTAGGTTTTATTTCACCGCGCCGCCAGCTGAATCTTTAACATGGCGACGACAGCTCATCTGTTCGAGGTAAAATGACAACGGGTAGCTGTGTTAGCTTTCAGGCTAGCTAAGGGGCTAACTACAATTAACGGTACCCTAACAGTGCCGACCGTATTTATCAATTGAGTGCGTAATTAAGAATTAATAATAACTCAAGCATTGAGGAGAAACGTTGGTTTCTTGTTGTTAAAGTGTGAGAAAAGAGGACACGTATTGTCTAATTGTATGAGTTCGCTTATTCGAGGAAATAGCAATGTTGTTGGCTGTTTGTGTGCAATACAATCAGCACAGGTAACTTTAGTAACCTTTTACAATTTACCCGATCTTGTAATCTTTTACCATCCTTTTGTAGACGACTGTAGTATTTTGGGCCAAGTGACTTTTCTCCCATTGCTTTTTCCCCCCTTTAGGAGCCCTTTGACGCAGATGAGTACATTGAAAGGCTGGCATGGAGGACTCCTGGGGGAGGCTCCAAAGGAGGAGCCGAGGCGTTTGACCCCAAAAGGTACTATAGATACTTGTCATTTACATATGCAGTAGCATCTCTCTTATCCTTAACATAAGGTCGTAGTTTATAAGAATTACATGCACCACATTTTAGCTCAAAGTTTTAGATTATATAGCGTATAAGATCTCCTTCCATCCATTATCTTTATTGAAAAGGAAGTAAAATTTAATTGATTATTTTTAGTTATTATAATAATAAATATGTTCTCAAAAGGATGCCTTATTCATGAATTAATATTTCAACTTTTACAAATGGAAAGCATTAACCATGCATACTGTCTTTCTAGCCATAGTGCCACTCATTTTTTGAGCAGTTAATTAAATTAATTAGACTGTAATCAAGACCATTTTCTCTCTGTAGCCATTAAATACACATAAACCATCTTCTTCTCTCTCAGTAAACATATTTTAATAATAATTTAGGGTAAGCTTCCTGTTAAAATACTTGGAAATAATTCATTATATTTTAGATTTTAGTGTTTCAATTACATTATGTCATTGTATTATTTTATAACAGTCAACAAACTGACTTTCTAAAGAAGCTGTCCTTCACAAAGCTCACCTGGATCTCCTCTCCACTCATTTAAAGTTTCGGGTTGGAGAAAAACAAGAAATAAATATTAAAGTCTTTTGCATCTTTTTTCCCCATATTTGTTGTGATGTTTATATTTGGGGACAGGCCTGCATCTCGTAAGCAAAAATGCCACAGCAGTTTAACTGTGCCACAGATGCATCCTGCTTATCTTCTCACTACACAAACTGTTGCCGCCACCTCCTCGGATACTCTTAGCTACAAGTCAGAGACAACATATCTGTGGAGGCCACCATACTGTGAGTCACCAGCCAGGGAATGAGTGTCTGTTGGGAAAGGATGGGAGATGTCTTTAAGCTCTAGCCAGTGCTGAGGGAATTAGTCAGAAGATTATACACTCATCATTTTGGGATGTTTCCTACTCTGTGAAATGTGGTGCTGACTTAGAACATTTGCTCTGCAGTCCTGGTGGCACTTAAAATGCAGCTGACGAAGCTGCTAGTTTTCAGAGCTTCTTAAGCCTGGGGACCCAGGAATTAAGCATCTGGCACTATTCTTTAACTATTAACTGTAACTGTGAGGTCAGTGGGACAGATTTAACCTTGCGGTACCAAATTACTATTCTAAACTAAGGGCATTTTCTGCATCTTTTACCTGTTATTTTTTTTGAAGAACTACCAAGTGGAAACTTACATGCATTCTTTCCCCCATTAAAGGCTGTTGGAGGAGTTTCAGAACCACATTGAGGAGTTGAAGCAATTGGATGAGAAGATCCAGCGGAAGGTGGAGAAGCTTGAGCATCAGTGTCATCGTGAGGCCAAGGAATTTGCCCACAAAGTTCAAGACTTGCAGAGAAGCAACCAGGTGTGTTGTGTGGTGAAAGGAGCCAATCACACCCACTGCAAAGCCCTTGAGCTGTCAAAGATTATATTATCTGTCATTCCAAAAACTTTTTTCTGTGTGTTTTTTATTTCACATCCTCTTTGTTTTGCATGATATCAGGTGGCCTTTCAGCATTTCCAAGAGCTCGACGAGCACATCAGCTATGTGGCCACTAAGGTTTGTCACCTGGGGGACCAGCTGGAGGGGGTGAACACGCCTCGCCAGAGAGCTGTAGAAGCTCAGCGTCTGATGACCTACTTCAACGAGTTCTTGGATGGAGACCTACGCAGCGATGTATTTAACAACCCAGACAAGGTAAGTATGCTGCACATGTTCTTTCCCTTCACATCAGTGGAGGTGTGTATGCGTGACCACTGTCGGGGGCCCCCTGCTGTGATACTGCTGGAGGTGAGAATGAACAGGATTACGAGGTAAACCATCCATATTAATTTGTTAAGTTTATCCCTTTAGTTGGATCCCTCGACTAATTTGGATTAATAAACTGTCATTTGCTGTCTGACAATAGCTGGCTGATTGACTAGCATGGATGTCAACATGCTCATGTCAAAACTAATTGCATTTACAGTAGGTTGTCTGGGAGAGAGAATTTGGATGGCCCTCAGCTTTGTGTCACGTTACAGCAGAAGAGAGCTTGTAGCAAGGTGGTGCATGCAAGGGCACTGGTGACATACATCCTGGGAAAAGATATGCACACTTTTACCCAGTGTCAGTCTACACAGAGGCCTTTTCGATGTTAGACAAGTGGCCAAAAGTTTGATTTTGCAGTTTTGTAGTGACAGCAGAGCGACTGAGATGCTTTAGATTTATTCTTGTTAGTAGGAATGTCATTAGCGGATGCTGAGAAGTGTGTCTGGGGGTCAATCCCAGAAACGAAAGCTGGAGATGGAGCTGGTTTTCTGGAAAGGCATGCAGAAATATCTGTCCAGATTCCTTTTTCCTGAGCATACCTCCATATGAGGGGGAAAAGAGGAAAGCTGCAAGTGAATAGCTGAAGGGGGATGGCTTTGCTAATCCTTCTGAAAGGGAGGGCTGGGCCGCCAGCGTGGAGACAAGTGCTGCTAAACCCTGACTGCAGGGAGACGGCTACATTACTTACATGGGATTTAGCTAATCTTAGCTGGGGGACAGATACTTAGAAAACCTTCGCCGAGCAGAAAGGCTGGATCCTCCTCACGGGAGCAGAGTAATGATGTTAGCTGAGGCAGGCATCTGCGGGAACAGAGGAGTTGCGGACGGCGGGCCTTTCGTAGGTCTGGGGCTTTTTTTTCAGCCAGCGTGTATGTCAGGAGGGGTGGGGGTGTGTATGGGGGTGTGGGGCGGCTCTCGACAGGGCCCCCTTTTTTTAGACAGATATCCCTGGACGGACAGATTATTGAAGGCGATTTAGACTCCTGTGGGATTACAGCCTATTCAGAAAAGGCATGCCAATAAAGAGTTGGATGTGCTGCTAAGTCAGGACTTCCACTGCTGCTGCTGCCGATGCCCAGGTGAGCGCAGCCTGTCTGTTATCAGCTCCCTGTTCAACACGGGAAGGTGGAGGAGGGCTGCTTTAAGATGATGATCCCCCAAGGGGAAACACTGCCGGCGGCCTGCCCACTTTTTCTCTGGATGTCCACTTCACATGGTCCCGCTGTGCTCTCACTCTTTTTCCATCACCTGATATCTCTCTCTCATAAACACACATACATACCCACTCTCACTTTTTCTCTGTTCCTCAGATTAAGGAAGCTGCTGATATCATTCAGAAGCTGCATCTCATTGCCCAGGAGCTGCCATTCGACAGGTGAGTCAGGCATCCTGAAGGCAGCTTTAGACAAAAGCAGTGACATACAAGAGGAACGCAGAGTATTACTTTTGTTCCTTTCAGTGTAATCGCAACACTAAATCTTTACAGCATCATGTGATTTCTAAAAATAGTCTACTTTTTTATTTTACTAGTATATAGATTAAAATGTCATTGATATTGATTTACTGTTTTTCTCTGCCAGGTTTGCAGATGTCAAGGCAAAAATTGCAAGTAAGTTTTTGACAGTCACCCACATTTAGTGTTTCTATTGTAAACTACTTGGAATGACCAAGTTTTCTTCATTTGAAGAAACATTATTGAACATTGAATATTGAGTCACTGCTCCAATGAAGAAAACCTTATTAAAGTTAAACAAACACTGTTTGTTTTAACCATCCCTCAGTCTCAACAACTTTCATGGGTCCGAACATTAAAAAGCCTGTAAAAGTATTTCTGAAGACCCGGGTGGTCATCTGTCCAGGCCTGATGCTGCTGTCATGAGTAGTGAATGTACTACAGAGTTCAGACCAGGAGCAAAAGTGTGTGTACATAAAGAATGAAAAAACCAAACAAGGCTTACAGAAAACACCTGCAGAAATATCAAAACTTTGCAAAAATGTTTGTTTCTGTAACGTTATTTCCAGTCTGAGAAAAACAGTAAATGACAGTGTGCTGATGGAAGGACAAATGGAACCTCTGCCCTCACAAAACAACTTTGTGCAATATGTCAAGGTTACTGAAGTCCATTTAGGTATCCCAGAACACTTGTTGATCAGTGTTTCCTGGACTAATGAGAAAGAAGTTGTTTTTTTGGTGTTTGTTTTTTTTTAATAATAAACACAAATACACACAAAAGTCTGTGCAAAGAGGAAAGTACATTAGCACTCAACCCTTAGATCATCGGTATACTCTTTTCTATCTCGGGGCCTGGATGTCTCCCAATCTAGGGGGAAACAATGACATTTCACAATAAAGGTGTCTCTATATGAAACTGTGGAGTGTGGAAAAACTGAGGAAAATGGGACTTATGTAAGTTGACTTATGTTTATGCTGTAGGATGTGACCTGTAAACTTTTTTTGGCTTCCGAATGGGGGCATGCTGATGTGTGCTGATGCACACCATCCTCA